GATCGACCAGAACTGCTCCCAGTTCTGGAAGTGGATCTTCAGGATGGGCCAAGGGCAGTGTCAAACCGGATCTGGTCCATCCTGAAGATCCACTTCCAGAACTGGGAGCAGTTCTGGTCGATCCTGAGGATCCTTCAAAACCCACTTCCAGAACTTGATGATTATTAAGATTGAATGTTGATAAATTATCAGGATTCGATCTTAATAACTTCAAAACGATATTATTAAGATTCATCCGGTAACGTTATTATTTGAATATAGTTAATAACCTGATAAAAAGTTGATAGCGTTATTAAGATTTATCGGTATTATGATCGGATCTCAATAATCTCTCAAAATTATTAGGATGGTTATTAAGATACGAATATGGCACAGCTATATTTTGAATAAACTGAATTAATTTTCAATTGTTTACAGGAGCTATTGCCGACCAAAAACGTAGTGAAGCAAATGTAACCGAAGAAGAAATTGATACTGAATTCAATGATTCCGAATTTGAGAGCGGCGATCGAGGCTCAATCGCATTTACAATCAACTCATCAATTCCCACATTGAATCCATTAGATAGCAGTAGTGATGATTATCGTTTTGCATCAGGTAAAACTGATTTGACCATTGAATGTGAAAAGTTGTAATGAAATTCAATTATTCTTCGTTTTGCTGATCAAATTTGTTTTGTTTTCTCTTTCCAACAGCCGAAAGTTATTTGAAGCATCCCAATAGCTATCTGCCGAAATATAATGTACAATCGGAAACGGATGGTGAGACAACGCCATTGAATGCGAACGGACAGAATCGAGATTCGGGCGGATCGAATGTATTTGAGTCAGAAGAAGAGCTCGACGATCATATCGATGAAGAAGGTGAGTTGTTTGATTTTGTTTCGGGAACTTGAAAGGTACAACAAATGTTTAACTTTCATATGATCATTTCTAGATGAAGAGGATGATGACGATCAAGATATTCCAGCTTATGGATTCCCGCGCAATCGTCGCGAACCCAGTGATATCGATTTCATAATTAGTAATGCAGGTAAGAAAATCTTTAAAAAAAAGGAATTATCATTTTTACACTCTAATTCCCACATAGTTTAACCGCATTTACATATTTTCCATTTTTGCATCATTTTACTACTGTGCATGTAAAAATAACATTCTCCGTTCTTTTTTGTCGCCAACTTCCCAGATGAAGGTAGTTCGTTGCTTCGTCAGAACCGCAGGAGTGGCAAGACGTCGACGGCGATGAAATCGAATTTCAAAGATGATTTGAATACGTCAAATACAACCACCGCCTCATCATCATCGGGATCATCGGGTGGCAAAAGTGTCAAATGGGCCAATAATATACAAACTACTCAAGTCTGATCACATAAACCACAACAAGAAAAACAACATTATCAATGTGCTATCAATGTCATTGCCATGAAGAGGGCAGCCAAAATACTCGTGATAATCATGCTAAAGAAATCCATTTAACTATCCCAAAACCAACAACCAACAAAACCGAACTCACAAGTTCTCGAGAGCACACATACACAGTCTAGCACTCGATACAAATGGCTTTTCTTCTATCAATATCATCACATGCGATCAGTATCAATTCGAATGGATCCCTTGGAACCCACGATATTTTTCTTTTTTAAACCGATCCTCTTGTAAAATATGAACAAAAATATTTAGTTTAAGAATCTTCTTTTTTTTCCTCAATTAAAAATGTACATTTCGAATATGACACAGAAAAAGGAAAACAGAAATAAAAACAAAATGAAATTAGGGAAAAAAAAATGATCAGAAATTCCGACAGCATCCATGATTGGAAATCGCTAGTTAAAATGACAATCGATGATTTAAGTTTTTATATTCTATGTATACAAAGAAACAAAAACCTAACAACAATATATGCAAAATGATACAACTGAGCAAAAACCAATCGTCAGGCTGACAATTTGCTTGTTTAGCTATTCGATTATGTGAGCCAGATTTCGAATCAATAGCATGAAATAAGTTGAAGAAATTGAAATTTGGTAAATTGTAAACAAGAATTTAAACAAAAAGAAAATATCTAAATAAAAATAAGCTCGTGTCATAGTCCCTCGCACCGCAATCAAATCAAATCGTAACTCATTCATAATTGCATTAAATTTTCATATTCATTGCCACTCATCGCATCACCACTCGAATCACACATCTCAGTTCTTTTTCAACACTCGCGTGAAAAAAAATCTTAAAATGATGATAGAAAACGCGAATTTTTTCAATAAAAAAAAAACCACTCACACATAAACTGCGTACCTTTTTTGCAATGGAAAACGTTTCACACGAAAACACAAAACAAAAAATCGTATCATTTCAGATGTATTTTTTTCGTCATAGAATTTAGCCGAATGTAATAAATGCAATTGCAATAATAAAGCACACACAACGCACAGGCACACACACATTATCTCAATTTATCTCACGAAATGACAATGTTTAACCGCAACTCTTTCGAAATAGTACAGAAAGAAGAAAGGAGAAAATGAAGGAAAACAATGGTTGCTAAATATTGATTAAATATTTGTATTCAGTTTTTAAGTTGAACAAAAAAAAAATAGCGAAAAATGGTCTCTTAAAAAAGATCGCACGCGCGCCGAACGCCTCAGGATATACATAAATAATCAAGATAAATCCATTCAAAATGCGTTCATCCATCAAATTTTGTATGTTTTCGATTCAGTTCATTCGTCGCCATACACACACACACACACACTCAATTCGAACAACACACTAATTTTTTTACAAGCAATTTTGTTTGGATTTATTCTACGTCCATTTTCTTTTGCTAATATTTTTTTCTCTTTTAAATAGAAAACTATAATTTAACACTTAGTTATTATTATTTTTAGAGTATTTTTTACCAATTCAGAGAGAAAGGAAGAAAAAAAAACACTCGAATATCGAACAACACAGCCCGTGTGTGTGAATGTATTAAGTGATTTGTTAGTTAGTCAAAAAAAAAAAATGAATGAATAAATAAATGAAAAATATTTATTTAAATGAATAACAAATAAAAAAAATGAGAAATAGAGGAAAAACAACCTAGTTATCGACTCTAAGTGCAACCGAATTCACAGTGGAATGGATTTAGCATTCGAATCGATATCGAATCAATTTCAATTTTTTTTTATCATTTCACTGTCATAGCGAAAAATTCAACTAATAAGTAATGAACAAACAAAAAAAAGTATTTATTTTTAAAAGTTATATACAACAACAAGAAAAACACAAAAAAACATCATTATTATTACCGATACGATTACAATGTTTATTGGCCGGTCAATATATGATACACAAAACACAACTGAATCCATAACGGACAAATAAATCGAATAAAGAGCCAACAAATGGATGGAAAAACACCCATTTGAACAAAATATACACGTGTTTTTTTAAATTATTTCCAGCAAAGTCATTTAATTTTGGATATTTCAGGTAATCAGTACTTTTCACTAACATTTCAATGTTGGATTAGTTGTCTGTTTCAAAAGTCGCAAATGAGAATCTCTCTTTAGATCTTGGATGATCAATATTTTTTTTCGTTATATATGGCCAAAAATTAACCAAGTCAGAGTACTCCCAGTGCTGGAAAAAATTCATGCAGTCGAGGGTTAAATTCGGCATCGACATCCATTTTCTTAAGTTCTTCCTCGAATTGATTTCGTTTATCACTGTGGTTGAAATCAAAGACGTTTAGTTTATTTGGATATCATGGAATAAATTTGGCTATAAAACACTGTATATACAGTTGATCATGTTTGTTTTAGCCGTTTTTAAGTCTTCAGTTGATTTTGGGCTCATTCCTGTTTTTTTCCTGCATCGTCAATTTTTTTCATGATATCGTGGTAATAAATATCGCGCAGCATGAAATATTTTTTGTTCGAAAAATCAAACGACAATATGAACATGAGAATGAAATAAATTAAAGTTTGATTTTCAATTGTTACTTCTGGTTCTCTGCACCCCATGTACTCGCTTGTTCAGCTGCCGTTACGAACATTTTTTCTAAACACTTGAAATGGCGAGAAACAGTGAGCAGGCAATTCGGAATCCCATTCAATCGTTCGAGGCAAACGCCAAATGTCCTGCAATAAAATCTTTGCTCTGATTATACACGGAGCAAGCCAACCTAAAGGGTCGAACAACTTTGCCACTTCAGACAAAATTTTCCTTTTTGTCCAATTCACAGCTTGTATGGTCTCAGATGGTTTGAACACAAAAACATCGGAACTCGGTTGCCAAGAAATACCTAAAGTTTTTAAAGTTGAATCGATAGTGGCTCTTTGTCTACACAATCAACATTCGCAAGCGTACGTTCATCATTTGACTTCCATTTTCGTAAACGAAGACCGTACTCGGCTAGTTTTTCAGTGAGCAACTCTCGCATTTCAACCGCTAACTCGATGCTAGTAAATGACTTCAAGGAATCATCAACGTAAAAACACTTTTGGATCATTTCGGCGAGCTGTGCATTTGTTTCCTTAACGTGGTCTCCAATCTCATACACATAAAGAATCGCTTGAAATGGTGCACTGCTGGTACCGAACGTAATCGTCAACAATAGGTTTTCTTTAATTGAATCGGTTCCAGGGCGTTGCCACAGAATTTTTTGGAAATTCGCATGAATTGAATTCACCCAAAACATTCGATACATTTTCTCAATGTCGCCGGATAATGCAAATTCATATTTGCGCCACTGAATTAATAATTCAAACAACTCGCGCTGAATAGTTGCTCCGACATACAAATTGTCATTCAATGACATACCGTTGCTGCTTTTTGCCGACGCATCGAACACATTTCTCACTTTAGTTGTGCTACTGGTCTCCTTCACTACATAATGATGAGGGAGAAAATACTGTAGTTTGGGACGATTCTCGACTAGTTTCTGAAATCACAACCAAAACCACCATTAAGATTAGTCATCATTCCAATGGACTTGGAAGTGTATCGTACATTTTTGCTTCATTTAAAGTGAAACACGATTTCTATAGTCCACAGATATTTTACGATTCACTTCCAAGCGAATGGAATTCATGTTGCACTTCTAAAAATCAAGAATATTGTGTTACGCCCATCCATAAGTGGTTCAACTTTAGTCATTTTTATTCCCGACCACTCATATGTACATGATGACGCTACATCACGCATTGAACAAAAAAGTACCCTTAAAGTAAATTCTAGTCATTCTGAAATGAATTCACAACTTGAATATCCACGTACACACATAATATATACTGTGCACTCCAGCATCACATGTACCAAATTCCTTTGGTGTACACGCGCAGCGGTTTTTTCATTCCATCTGTATAAATACAAAATTGATGTGTTGTTCGAAAATGGTTATTCGTTTATCATGCGACGTTTCGCTCTTTTTAGGAGCATCATCAGGCTGGAGAACAAAAGAATTTAAAATGTTTTCGAACGTATTCCATTTTTTGCTATCAATTTACACAAGTTGTATCAGCTACACGTGTCCATCAAAAGAATTTTGTTATTGAGCTTCATTTAGTGTCTGAATATGATTACACTATGCAACAACAAGGAATAACAGAGAAGGGAACTTATTTACAAAGATTTTTTGGGCCCACTTAATCCAAATCTGGCGTTAGTTTGTCCTGTCACGTCTAGTTTTCAAGATACGTTCATTGCTTTCCGTATCAGATTTGGATTAAGTGGGCCAAAAAACCTTGGAAATGAGTCTCCTCTTTTTGGGGGAAAATTTTCTTTGAAATTTGTTGCATAGTGTTAGTAGACCTCAATTCGTAAATTCCATAACTGAAAAATACCATAATTTAAAAAAAAATAATTCCATAACTGAATTATACGTTACAGTGCACGTGTCGGCTATTGGTAGATGAATGGTTTAAAAGAGGCGCCACCGCATAGTGGAGACCAAACGAATTCGAAGTATCTCTTCTCAAATTATCATTGTGCAACAGGTTAAAACTCTGTTTCGTTGGCAAATTAAAATGAATCTACTACACGGTTTGTTTTTGGTGCTATTCGTCGTTGAATTTTCGGTAAGTTTTTTCTATTCCTTTATCATTTTCATTTTTATCCAACAAAATGCGATGTTTCTGTAGAATTGAAAGTAAACATGAAATTTCTTTTTCTAGGAACTTCAAGGAAATTGTAAGACAAATTTTGTTTTCGTACACGCTTTTTATGATTCCAAGAGATTTTTCATTTTAAAATTTCGACTTTTTTTTCTAATGAACAGATGGCTTTTTCTCGCAAGCTCTTCTCAAGGGCGAAGTAATTGAAAACATGTCACAGGCAAAGTTTGTAGCTGGAATCTATGCCCCTACAAGTAAGTCAGCTTTAGAATAATTTTTATTCTTTTTTTCGTGTGAATTTTCTATTCAAATATTTTGTCAATTTTGTGTGTGTTCATTTTTGCTTGTACTGAGACGAAACAATTTTATTACAGAATATTTATATCTATTCAAAGACAAGTCAACTGATGCTTATAGAGCAATGCTGTCCGAATGTACCGCATTTATTCTGTCAAAAACGGAAATTATCACGAATGCCCATTGTGTGGCTGGCGCCCCATATATTTATGTGGTAGTTGGTACGAAAGTTGCATTGGAAAAAAACCTAATCAAAGTCGAAAAAGAGAACATTGCATATCACCCTTATTATAGTCATTTACTTGTTGGTGCATTTGATATTGCCAAAATTACACTGAAAACGCCGTTAGAATTCAGCGATACCGTTGGCAGTATTGAACTCGTGGACAAGGATTACAAATTGAATGACCCATCAGAAGTGGTCACTGTCTATGGGTATGGCGTGTTGAATTCACCAATGATATTGAGGCGTTGCGATGCGAACTATATATATGATGTCGAACGGGCCAACACATTCAACCCAGTTGAGACTTTGTACTTTACCACTGGCGAAGCTACGAACGATGGCGAAATTATTACACCTGGCGATTCGGGTGGACCAGTCGTTTCAAAAACAAATGGCAAAATCGTGGGCATAACTATGGCTAGAAATGGAACAACAGGTGGCCGCGGAATGTTCCTCCCAATTACGTCATTCCTTGATTTTATCCATGATCCAAAGGTATCTAATCTCAATGCCCCAATTTGCATTTCAATAACGCGAACAAAATGTGTTTTTGCTTTTGTTTCAGAGCGTGAAACCACTTCCACCTCCGCTTACACCAAACGAAGCCAAATTCTTAGCCGATATATCGGTACCGGGGAGTAAGTGTGCTTTCAAAATTTGAATTAAATCAATTTATTATCTGGTTTTTAACGTCACTTTTAATCTTCATATTTTTTTTCGGCGGCGAAAGAGGAGATTTTTCATGATTCATAAACCAATACTCATCCTGAGATATTTTTCTATTACAGAATTTCTCACCCTCACCAAGAAAGCATATGCCAACACCGACGAAGATTATCGAATATACTCTAATGCAATCATTTTGTCGGAAACCGAGATTTTGACCTGTGCACATAATGTACACGGCGCCCCATATGTCTATGTAATAGTTAATAAACTATCAAGCAATCCGATAAAAATCAAAGTCACCGAAGACCAAATAGAAATTCATGAGAAATACGCATTGTCTGGATTCACATTTGACGTTGCCAAGATTACACTTAAAGAACGGTTGGAGTTCAACAACAACGTCGGCAGCATCGATTTGGTGGACAAAGATTACAAATTGAATGACCCGTCTGAAATAGTCTCTGTCTATGGTGATATGACATTGGATGGAACAATAGGAACGAGGCGTAATGATATAAAGTATTTGGACGGCGCCAAATGCAAATCGAAATGTGGCGCTGTATTTGATGCAAATCATTTGATGTGTTACACTTTAGATGAAAGCATGGGAACTCCCTTTACGTTCGGAGGACCAATGGTTTCGAAAAAGAATAACAAACTCGTGGGCATGACCATAGTTCGTTATCCTGATGAACCGGTTATTTTTCAACCGATTGCACCGTTGCTCGATTGGATCCGGAAGCCAAGGGTAGGACGTAATCAAAGAAGAAGAATATAGGCTTGAAAATAGGGGTTTCAGGCTCCTGAAAAAGCTGAATACCGTCTCTTTTTTTGCCCCTGTCATTTGATGTTCAACAAAAGAACCGAATAAATTTGAAAATTTGAGAAAAATGCATTTTAGTTTTCATTCGCCCATGCGCAGTTACGTGATTATCTGCACGTAAGTGTGAGCGAGATAGCATGAGTTTTGGGTATCCCAGTGAATAGGTACTACGGAACTGGTGAAATGATGGCTCGGTTTTATTCATAGCGTTTTGGAGGCGATGGACACATTATTTTTGCCGAATTCTGCTCGGAAATGCGAGTTCTGGCCATGTGTAGATTTTACCATATAAATCAATCTATAATTGCAGCCGCGCCGCGCCGTGCTCCGAGAATTTCATACATACCTGTCATGTACACGGTCGTAACACAGGCAAAAATCGAAGAAAAGTTTTAAAAAAATGTTTTTAGATTCTAATAGAGTATTTTGTGTGCACCGTTGGTATTATCGGCACATTGAAATTCGCGCTCCTTACCACTTAATTTTCACTCCGAAATCAAGTCACAACCAAAACCACCATTAAGATTAGTCATCATTCCAATGGACTTGGAAGTGTATCGTACATTTTTGTTTCAATTAAAGTGAAACACGATTTCTATAGTCCACAGATATTTTACGATTCACTTCCAAGCGAACGGGATTCATGTTGCACTTTTAAAAATCAAGAATATTGTGTTACGGTTATCCCTAAGTGGTTCAACTTCGGTCATTTTTATTCTCGACCACTCATATATACATGATAACGCTACATCACGCATTGAACAAGAAAGTACCCTTAAAGTAAATTCTAGTCACTCTGAAATGAATTCATAACTTGAATATCAACGTACACACATAATATGAATGAGTGAGATTGAAAACAAGACATATCCTGACAATATATCGTTATGATACAAAAACGAATGGTTTTTTTAAAGTGTAACATCGGCAGAGAATTTTTCGAAGTGAAACACCGCGTGTTATGTTTTAATAGAATTTGTTTTCCATGATTCACTTTGAAAAACGTTTGCGCTAGTGTTTCGTTTGTAAATACTTGTTGGATGGTGTTTCGGTTCTAGGAATGCATGATAATTTTATTGATAGGGAATGCGAATTTCGATGTGGTGATAACACCAATGGATTGGTCACATGAAATACTGTACCAGAATCGAAAAAAAATTTAACTTTTTTTTCGATTTTTGCCTGTTTCGGGTCGTCTACATGGGAAGTTTGTATGAAAACCTCGGAGCGCTGGTGTTTTATACCCGTATTGTTATACACATCAATAAAGCAGTCTGCTTCACTGTAGAAAAGAAGTGCGCAGTAACGAACAAGAACGTTCAGGTTTCGGCAACGTTGCATTATAGCGATTATGAATGAACGTAATGAGAAATGTAACGAGAAATTACGTTCATTCATAATCACTAGTGAAGCCACGTTGCCAAAACATGTACGTTCTTGTTTCCTTACTGCGCACTACTTTCCTACGGTGAAGCAGACTGCTTTGTTGACATGTATAACAATACGGGTAAAAATTGCACGTAAGTGTGAGCGAAATAGAATGAGTTTTCGGCGTCCGAGGGAATAGGAACATCCGAGCTGGTTGAATGATGGCTCAATGGGCAAACGTTTTTCCAAGTGAATCATGGAAAACAAATTTTATTGAGATGTAACACGCGGTGTTTCACTTCGAAAAATTCTCTGCCGATGTTACACTTTAAAAAAATCTTTCTTTGGTGTTTCATTTAAATATACTGTGGAAATATGTCTTGTTTTCAATCTCACCCATTCATATATACTGTGCCCTCCAGCATCACATGCACCAAATTCCTTTGGTGTACACGCGCAGCGGTTTTTTCATTCCATCTGTATAGATACAAAAGTGATGTGTTGGGCTAAAGCCATCTTCGAAAATGATTATTCGTTTATCATGCGACGTTTCGCTCTTTTTAGGAACATCATCAGGCTGGGGAACAAAAGAATTTAAAATGTTTTCGAACGTATTCCATTTTTTGCTATCAATTTACACAAGTTCTATCAGCTACACGTGTCCATCAAAGGAATTTTGTTATTGAGCTTCATTTAGTGTCTGAATATGATTACACTATGCAACAACAAGGAACAACTACAGAGAAGGGAACTTATTTACAAAGATTTTTTGGGGCCACTTAAACCAAATCTGGCGTTAGTTTGTACTGGCACGTCTAGTTTTCAAGATACGTTCATTGCTATCCGTATCAGATTTGGATTAAGTGGGCCAAAAAAACCTTGGAAATGAGCCTCCTCTTTTTTGGGGAAATTTTTCTTTGAAATTTGTTACATAGTGTTAGTAGACCTCAATTCGTAAATTTCATAACTGAATTATACGTTGCAGTGCACGTGTCGGCTATTGGTAGATGAATGTGATAAAAGAGGCGCCACCGCATAGGGGAGACCTAGGGGCTTTTAAGTCAAAATATACATTCATATTTGTGTGAATATTTCGTGAATATTGCATATAATCCGTGTATATTATTCACCATATTCACAGAATATACACAGCATGTAAAAAATATGTGTTTACGGCAATGTCGAATCTTTGTTACCGATCGTGAATATGAGGTGTATATTTCATGAATATCGTGTATATTCCGTGAATATGGTGCATATTTTGCCAGTATTGTGAATATTTCGTATGACTGTCATCTATGGTGTATATTTCTTGGATGGAATATACATGGAAGCCCCTAGGGGGAGACCAAACGAATTCAAAGGATCTCTTCTCAAAGAGTACAAGAAAGTTCTCTATTGTCATTGTGCAACAGGTTAAAACTCTGTTTCGTTGGCAAATTAAAATGAATCTACTACACGGTTTGTTTTTGGTGCTATTCAGCGTTGAATTTTCGGTAAGTTTTTTCTTTTCCTTTATCATTTTCATTTTTATCCAACAAAATGCGATATTTCTGTAGAATTGAAAGTGAACACGAAATTTCTTTTTCTAGGAACTTCAAGGAAATTGTAAGACAAATTTTGTTTTCGTACACGCTTTTTATAATTCCAAGAGATTTTTCATTTTAAAATTTCAATTTTTTTTTCTAATGAACAGATGGCTTTTTCTCGCAAGCTCTTCTCAAGGGCGAAGTAATTGAAAACATGTCACAGGCAAAGTTTGTAGCTGGAATCAATGCCCCTACAAGTAAGTCAGCTTTAGAATCATTTTTATTCTTTTTTCGTGTGAATTTTCGATTCAAATATTCTATCAATTTTGTGTGCGTTAATTTTTGCTTGTACTGAGACGAAACGATTTTATTACAGGATATTTGTATCTATTCAAAGACAAGTCAACTGATGCTTATAGAGCAATGCTGTCTGAATGTACCGCATTTATTCTGTCAAAAAAGGAAATTATCACGAATGCTCATTGTGTGGCTGGCGCCCCATATATTTATGTGGTAGTTGGTACGAAAGTTGCATTGGAAAAAAACCTAATCAAAGTCGAAAAAGAGAACATTGCATATCACCCTTATTATAGTCATTTACTTGTTGGTGCATTTGATATTGCCAAAATTACACTGAAAACGCCGTTAGAATTCAGCGATACCGTTGGCAGTATTGAACTCGTGGACAAGGATTACAAATTGAATAACTCATCAGAAGTGGTCACTGTCTATGGGTATGGCGTGTTCAATTCACCAATGATATTGAGGCGTTGCGATGCAAACTATATATCTGACGTCGAACGGGCCAACACATTTAGTTCAGTTCAGACTTTGTACTTTACCACTGGCGAAGCTACGAACGATGGCATCTAACACTGGTTTTGATTGGACAATTCGCAATGGTCCCTTGTTGTGGATCAAACCGTTCAAATGCTTGATCGAAGGATTGGCTTATCAATATTTGCGAATTTTTGTTCGCTTACAGTGGAGATTTCCTGAAAATGAAATTGTAGGTTTTTTTCTTCAACGATTTTTGTAATCAAAATAACACAATCAATTTTGAACTATGTCGAATTAACATTTTTGGTTTTATTTTTAATTTTTGTTCATATTATGTGGGCTTATTCCTCTACAAACTAACATTTTGGTTTTACTGTTTAAATCGATCATACGTAGACAACATTGTTTATAGGTGACACTAAAG